CCCTACCGCTGTTGTCCCCTCTCTCTGAGGACCGATGCAGGCCAGCAAGGGGGTTAGATGGATGGGCAAGTTTTAAATGTGCAGATTCTGGCACACTGCCCTTCCCCTAGAAAGAAGAGAGAGAGAGAGGGAGGGAGAGGGAGAGCGAGAGTGAGAGCGCTTCCAGGCAAACATTTGTTAGTGCAGTTAAAACCAGCTTTTATGGTTGATGATGTCCACTCCTGTGGCTGGGTGGAGGCTGCCCAGGGCCCCTAGAAGGAAAGGCCCTTGCCAGGATGCAAACCAGCAGTCCAGCTCCTCCCACTCCTCCTCTGGGTGATCTCAGGGTGCTTAGCAGGGTGGGCTCACACCATGACCTGACACGGGGTGGGGGGGGAGGCAAGGTGGTCTGCCCTCTGCAGCTGAGCCCTGGGACCACGGGCCCTGGGCCTGTTCTGATCCAGTGGCTTCCAGCACTGAGATGAGCCTCGGCGGGAGTGGGGGGGGGATGGGAAGGGGCCTCTGTACCTCAGAATCCTCAGTCATACTACCCAGAAGATAGTGGGTGCCCTGGCAGTGGGCCTCACCCTGCAGCTTTTATCTCTGTTTGCCCCACTCCTTGCAGGCGGCTAGCTGGTGATCCCATTAGCAGCAAGGCCTGGGCTGCCCAGCACTGCCCGATGGTGTCTTAAAAGTTTAATGCGAACCTCGGGGCCAAACCTGAGGCCTCACCCGGCTCCCTGGGGACTAGAGCTCTCCCAGCTAGCAGCCTGCACCTTGGAAGAGTTAACCTGTAGGCCCTGCTTGCTCCACTGTCTCTGGACAAAACTTAGTGTGTTGAAGGGGACAGGGGCAGGGGCAGACCGGGACCTGTGCCGTGATTGAAAGCAGTTGCCCTGCCCATGCAAGCCCCCGCTCCGCTCTGCTCCTGCAGCCCTACACTCCTGTGTGTGCCTGGCGGCCTGGGGCACATCATGCCCTGGGCTCCACACCTCCTGAGCACGCGCGGGAGGCTTCCTTGCAGACCTCTGTTCTCTGTGAGGGAGCCGGGCTCAGGGCTACCCCCAGGCCCGGCTGCCTCGGGGATGGGCTGTCTCCCACAGGGTGTCTCCCTCCTTCCTCTGCAGCTGTGGTGATGGCTGTGCGTTTACCAAGGCCCAGAGCCTCTTATTAGATTGGTAAAATTAAATCCTGCAAAATAATTTTACTTAATTTAATTTATCTCTCCTCTCTTTCTCTTGCCGCTAGCAGCAATCCTGTGGATGCTGAATGCCACCCTCCTTGCTTAGTGCCAAGAGCAGGGGGAGTTCAGGATTGGCAATGGGGGGAGGTTCTTCCCGACCCTGGACCTGAGATACCCTGGAGGTCTGGGCTGTGTGGCTCTTCTTTGGCCAGACCACCCTGTCCCCACCTCAGGGACACCCTTGGGAGGACTCTGTACATGCTCGGCGCAGCTACCTGTGTTTTCCTGCACAAGTAGAGTGTTGGGACCAGGTGTGCCCAGATTGCCATGCGGCTGGTGGGCATCTGTGCTTGAGCCCTGCCTCTGCATGCAAGCCAGCTTGTTGCACTACCCCCCATTTCCTCCCATTCCCCCTCCACAAGGCCCCCCCAACCACCTGGAGCTAATGCTGCCTGCTCCCGGGGGCCATGGGACCCAGCCCCCCTGGGCTGCTGACAGACTCCCCAAATTCTCATATGCCTCCTTCCTTGTCCTGGGATGGTCCCTGGTGGTAGACGTGGCAGGAGGTGTGAGGTGGGTTTGTTCTGTTCTAAAGGGCTCGGAGGGCAGCTTCCTCCCTGCAGTGCTGGTGCTGGGCGGATGGCTGGGGTAAACAAGCTAAGAAGTCTTCCATTTGCAGTCCCACCACAACCACGGAGGGAACAATGGGAGGCTCTGCTTGGAGAGCAAAAAGAGGGGGAAACTGAGTCACAGAAGAGTGTGGAGGTCACTGAGCACAGTGAGACAGCCCCCAGGCCGTAGCGGTCCCAGCTGGGCCCGCTGAGGCCCACAGCCCGCCCAGCCTGAGGTCAGCCTCTGCTCGCCCTGCTTTCCCAGCCCTGGGAGCGAACGCCAAACCTTTATTTTAATTCTTTTCTCCTAAAGTTCAGCTTTGTTCTCGCCCCGGCCGAGGCTTCTAAGAAAGCAACCTAACACCAGCTCCGGTCCTGTTCTCTCGGGCCGCTGCGGGCCCGCCGGCCGTGCCAGCACAGGTGGCCTGAGGACAAGGTGGCAAAGGCACCGGCTTGTCCTGGGTCTCAGGAGACGCACTCTGCCCCGCCGCCTTCTGGGGAATAAAGGCCCCTTCTCTGGCTGAGCTGCTCCGGCCTTGCCCTGGGCACCTGTGCCCCCACCCCGCCCCCCACCAGCTCACAGCCAGTCACAGACACCTCCCATCAACCTGCCGTGGGCTGGAGCCAGGCATTACAGACACCTCTGCATTCTGTCTCGGGAGCGGCGATGGGCGTGGAGGAGAGTCTGGAATTGCAGTGTGGCCAGCAGGCTGCGGCTGCCATGTCGGGAGGGACAGGCTGTGGGATCCTCACCCTGTCCCCTAGCCTGGCTGCAGGCCAGCCTCGTCCCCCTCCCCCCCCCCCCCAGGCCCCTGGGGCCAGAGTGCTTTGGCTGGTCTTTACTCCCTCTGGCCAGATCAGGTCACACATCCTGGCAGGAGAGCGCTGGGCCTGCCTGCTGAGGCCCACCTGACCCGGGCTAAGGCCGTCTTGCAGAAGAAGCCAGTGGCTGTTTGGGAGTGTCCCTGTGTAGAGCTGCACATCCGTGAAGGGGACTTTGAGGTCCCTCCCTCCCTCTGTGCTGCGTGTCCCTGAGCAGCACCACCCCTCCCCCACTTGGGCCCTGGGCACACTGGGCCCTGCTGAGCATCTGAGGGGCACCTGGTGGGCCTCTGGGAGGAAGCGGGAACCAGCACGCTCACGAGGGTGGGGGCCTGAAGGTGATCCAGCCCTGCCTCTCCCCCACTCCCGAGAGACCCTATAAGGGCCAGACGCTGGAACCCTGAGGCTGGGCCTCCTTACTGAGAAGTTGGTCCGTTGAGAGGAACTGCCTGGCAGAGATGGGAGGGTGAGGGTGGTGTGGGGAAACTTCTGGAACTGGCCTTGCTGCCCTGGAACCCCGGCCTGCAGGGAACCTGGCCCCAGGCCCCATGGGGAAGGGAGGAGGGTCAGCTCGCTGGCTCTTTCCTGTCCACTCCTCTCCCCAGCCCTCGTCTCTCCGTCCACTTGGTGCTCCACCTGTGCTCGCTTGCTCCCCTTCCTCACTTTGCTGCCCACTGTCCATTCCGCGGCCCCCCCGGCCCCGCACCCTGGCCCCCCTGCCCAGCCTCCAGTCCCCTGGAAGAGTTAGGCTGGCGGCAGCTCCGTGCCCGGCAGACTGTTTGGAATAGTTTAAATGCTTTGACACCGGTCTGAGCGGGATGGAAGGCAGGCAGTTTACTGGGTAATTCATATGCAAAACTGCACTATAAATTTCCAGGCTGTCTCAGTTGCTGTGGCTCCGCGAAGCGTTTCTCCGCGTACAGTACAGTATTTCTGCCATCTTTGTTTGCATTGCAGTGAGTCATCAAAAGTCTGTCTTGCACCAACACCCGGAGCCGTGCATTCCTCTGGCACCAACGCGCCACTGTGTTTAAAGCCGGGGCTGGGAGCTGGCATTTACTTCAGCTCCCAAATCAAAGGCGGCTATTCATTCCCCAGAGCTGCCTGAATGTTTGTCTGCATCCGGCCGCTTCATTGAGATGCTGTGCGCTGCCCGGGAGCGCCGGCCTGGGTGCAGCTGAGCTGCGGCCGCCTAGCCCAGCGCCTGGCCCCCCCCTCACCCAGCTCCTCAGCCCTCCCACCCTGGGGCTCCTGCTCCTTGCTGCATTCCCGGAGCAGCGGGCTGGCGTGCGGAGAGTCTGCCCTGCCAGGCTGCGCGGGCGGTGTCGGCGGCCAGCCGGCCACCGCTGCGGAAGGTAGGTCTTCCTAGCGGGCTGGCGCCTCCGGGCCAGGCCGGCAACTTCTCTGCAGCGGGGGGCACTGCAGGCCAGGCCTCTCCAGCGCTGCGCCCACCTTCCCAACTCCCGCTGCGGGCTGGCTCCGCCCTCCTCCGCGGCGGCCCGCGCCTGCACTTTCCTCCCGCGGGACACAGCGGCCCTTTGTGCAGCCTGCAGAGTTGGGCCAGTGCCTTCTGCCACCCCCCCTACCCCCAGGCAGAGTCTGTACCTGATAGATAAACAGTGCCGCCCGCCTCCACCCGCCGGCCGGCCTCCTGAAACCCCTGCAGCTACCTGGGGTGGGATCCTGCCAACAGGGGTTAGATCCATGTTGGGGAGTGGGGGCGCAGGAGAGCGTCCTGTGAAGGGCTGTGGGCTGCGCCAGGCTCCAGCTCCAACTCCTGTTCTGCCGAGTGTCCCTGAGGACGCAGACCTGGGTCTGGGCTGCCCCTGGGGGGGGGGGCAGAGGGGCCGGCAGCACCCCAGTCCCTCTGCATGGTGGGCGGTCCCTCCCCAGCAGGAAAGAGTGGAGGAGGTACGGTGTCCTGCAAGCCATGCCCCCAGCCCCGGAGGCTCCAGGCTGGGCAGGGAACGCAGGAGGGGAGCAGGGGACTGCTGGGACAGCTGCTCAGAGGAGATCAGGAGAACCAACCGGAAACTGAGCACTTCCCAGAGACCTCCTGGCCCTGGGATGGCCCCTCCCCCAGAAGGCATCCATGTGAGGGGATGGTTTCCCTTTTTCCTGCCTTGGTCTGGTCTTGACTTCTGATGGGGGTGGGGCTCGGGCCATGCCGGCTGGGGGCGGGGGTCGTCTCAGAGCAGCCCCGCTCTGCAAGGGGGTTACTCCTGCCCTGGTCCTCAGCTGGGTTCAGATTCTGGGACCTCCCTGGTCTGGACACACCCTCGGCAGGAAGGAGATGCTCTCTGCTCCTTGCAGAGGGCAGGGGAGGGGACGGGCCCTTGGCAGACTGTCCACTGGGCCGGAGCATTTGTCCATCAGTGGCTGACGGAGCTGTCCCCTTACAGATGTGCCCCACCCGATCCGCCCCCTGCTGAGTCTGAGGCCCGCCCCGCCACGCCGCCCGCCATGTCTCAGATGTTGCACATCGAGATCCCCAACTTCGGGAACACAGTCCTCGGCTGCCTCAACGAGCAGCGTCTCCTGGGCCTCTACTGCGATGTGTCCATTGTGGTCAAGGGCCAGGCCTTCAAGGCCCACCGGGCCGTCCTGGCCGCCAGCAGTCTCTACTTCCGTGACCTGTTCAGCGGCAACAGCAAGAGTGCGTTCGAGCTGCCCGGCACGGTGCCGCCGGCCTGCTTCCAGCAGATCCTGTCCTTCTGCTACACGGGCAAGCTCACCATGGCAGCCAGCGAGCAGCTCGTGGTCATGTACACGGCGGGCTTCCTGCAGATCCAGCACATTGTGGAGCGGGGCACAGACCTCATGTTCAAGGTGAGCTCGCCCCACTGTGACTCCCAGACTGCCATGATTGAGGATGCCAGCTCCGAGCCCCAGAGCCCCTGCACCCAGCCACAGCCAGCCGCCACCGCTGCCGCCTACATCTCATCCCCGTCCGTGCCCATCCCGCTGCTGACCCGGGTCAAGCATGAAGCCATGGAGCTGCCTCCGGCTACGGGCCCAGGCCTGGCTCCCAAGCGCCCACTGGAGACAGGGCCCCGGGACGGCGTGCCCATGGCTCTGGGGGCCACAGGGGCGGCTGGCACGGCCCCTCTCAAGCTGCCCCGAGTCTCGTATTACGGGGTGCCCAGCCTGGCCACCCTGGTCCCCAGCATCCAGCAGGTGCCCTACCCCCAGGGGGAGCGGACCAGTCCGGGGGCCAGCAGCCTGCCCACCACCGACAGCCCCACCTCCTACCACAATGAGGAGGACGAGGAGGACGACGAGGCCTATGACACCATGGTGGAGGAGCAGTACGGCCAGATGTACATCAAGGCCACGGGCAGCTATGCAGGTAATCACAGCCAGGGCCTGGCCCCGTGCTGCTCACCACCCAGCCGCAGCCGCTGGGCCGGCGGGGGGGGGGGGGGAGTTGGTGGGAATGGAGACATGATGAGCAGGATGGCAGGAGTCCATCATCCAGCTTGCACCTGACATGGTGTGAGGTGATGGGTCACGAGTCCTGTGGTCTGCAGCTGTGCCCCGTCTGGCACTGGGCAGATGAGGAAAGCGAGGATCTCAGTGAACCAGTGCTCACCAGCCGGTCACTCCTTGCTGGGGACCTCACGTACGTTCCCTGTCTCTGAAGAGCCTGTTTCTATGTGCATGGTGTTCCTTCCCTTCATCTTCAGTCTTCTCCCAGGATACCCTCTGCACAGCCCCTCCCCCCTCCAGCGTGACCTTGGCCAGGGCTGTCAGCCTGGTCAGAGTTGGGCAGTGTCAGGTCTTCTGGGTGCAGGTGGTGTCCGGTGGCTTGTATAATACTCCTGCCCCTTGGTGCTGGGACATCTGAAGCCCCTCCTGCTCTGGGCAGGCTTTTCGCAGGGCTGGGGTGGGGTAGTGGCCATGAGGAGGCTCTGTGGCGCCGACCCATACAGTCAAGGTGGCCATGCGGCTCTGAGCCCTCCATGGAGGTGCGCGGGCCGGCTCCCCAGTGCCCGGGCAGCACCCCCCGAGCCCTGCCTGGTCCTGCCCATCCCTGCCCACCTTCAGGGGCTATACTGATGGTGCTGAGACACTGGAAAGGAACCACGGCTGCCCCGGTCCGCCCGCCGTGCGACTGTCTGGGTTTTCTTGCGGTTTTGCTCTTCAGCAAGCCCATAAGTGGGGCAGAGCAGGGGGTGTGTGGTTTCTTGGTTAGAATCTAGGTTGTTGGCAGCGATGTCGTGGTGTTGCTGGGTGTGCTAGGAGAAGGAGGCCATGGGGGGCAGCACCCAATGCAGAGCCGCCCCGGGTCCTTGTGTGCTGGCCTGGCCTCACGGAAGGTCTCTCTCTGCCTCTCCGTCTGTCTCTGTCTCCTCAGTCTCCCTCCCTCCTTCTCCTCCTAGAGGCCTTCCAGAGAGCCCTCTGCTGGATTCCCTGGAGGTGGGCAGGGTGCCCATCTCTGCGCTGGTACAGTCTCGTGTTCTTAGTTGCTTTTTCAATCAGCTCCCCTCTGGCACTATTTCCCACTTCAGTGAGGACAGGCCAGTGACCTCGGGCGTGAGCAATGACAGAGCAGTGGAGCCACCTGCCCCCAGCCCCCACCGAGGGGCCACTTACAGAGGGTCAAGCATATCCAGCAAGTCAGAGCCCCACCCCTGCTCCGCCTCTGCCATCCCGCACCTCTGGGTCCCAGGCAGGATCCTCTGGGTTTGTGGCCAGAGCAGTGCCCTGCCTCTTTCTCCTTTCCTTCACCCTGCCCAACCTCCAGGATGTAGTGTAGGGCCAGGCTCCTTCTGGGCTGCCCAAGATCTCAAGGCTTCAGGCTGGGTGGCGTCTGCCTGTCCACTGGCAAACCCAGGAGTCCAGTGACTGGCCTGGTGGTATAGTGTGGGACGTCAGTGTGGCCACCGTGGGGTGGGTGGGGATGGAGTGCAGCTGCGTCAGGGTCTGCTCCCGAGGGCTACACCGTCTCCAGGCTCCTCCGGCACACCCGGTCCTCCAGACCCATTCATGGGGGCTGAGCTGAACATGCTTGGGGCAACAGACCGTAGAGGGACCTTGAGCAGTTAACAAGTGATGTTGGGGTGCTGTGACCACAGCCAGGCAGGCCCACATGCAGGACTAGGCAGGGCAATGGGGGCTCGTGGTCCATGTCCCCACACCCTGCCACCTGCTCTCTGCCCTAGCAGGTAGATGCTTGCAGCTGCCAGCCCTTGCTCTCTGGAGGTCTGAGGCAAAGGTCCTGCTGGGATTGTTACCAGCTACACTTCCACATGTAGCCACGTCACCCCACGTCACCGACAATGGCCGAGTGCTGCTCCCTTGCTCCCTGTCCCTCCCCCCTGGGAGACACGGCCCTGGCTCTGCCCTCTGTGCCCTGTACACTGCTCTCTGGGTCAGGAGAGGTAGCATAGGCTGAGAGGACTGCCCGGGAGTAGGGGTGGTACTGACATGGGGCTGGGGGCTGGCAGAGTGCTGGGGGCTAGAGAGCACTGCAGCAGCAGGACTGCGTTTGTGGTAGTCTCACTCACAGCCCTCCACCCCTGGCAGCACGATTCAGTGGTTCTTACACCCAGCAGCTCCCTCTGCCTGTGGGCACCAGCCCTGTGGGAGGCTGTTCCTGACAGTGGTCAGTTGGTGTTCTCAGAGAAGGGAGAAAGTCTGGACATGTCTGGGCAAATCCCCCTCTACCTTGTGGGCAGGATCAATATCACAGAATCAGGGCCCAGTCTACCTCCCTATTGGGCCCAGGGAGCAGCAGGTACCATTGTCTCTGGTCTAGGTAGAGGGAGGCCCAAGAAATCCAAGCACTGGTGGGGGTAGTGCTGGCTGCTGGTGTGAGGGGTTCCCTCCTTTTAGAGAGCCAGCACCTTGTGATCGGGGCAAGGGCGAAGAAGGTGCCAGCCCCGAGATCCCTCCAGTGGTGTCTGCCTACCTCAGCTTCTACTTGAGCAGGTGCAGGGCAGGGCTCTCTGCAGCCCCCAGGGGGCAAGGGAGCTTGCCCAAGCTGTGTACACCCTGAGTTTTCTTCTAGTGAAGCCAGCTTTGTTGAGATGTGATCCATCTACAATAAAATACACACACTTGAATCTCTCAGAGGCACTTCTGCCACCCCTGGCAGAGTCTTGGCCCTGCCGCTTGCTCAGGTGGCTGCCGTGTGTGCTGTCAGCAGGACAGGAGCTGGCACTGTGCGTGGGTCTCACTCCAGTGCCATGCTGTCCACATTGCTCTCTCCTCCTCCTTTTTGTGTCTATTGACAGTAAATGCTAAGTTCAAGTGCACTGGTCCATGACTTTGGTGCAACTTCAAGACAAGGAGCAGGTATTTCCCCTAAAATGATACCTGGGTCCTCCTAGCCCCTACTTTGGTCTCAGGCAGCCACCAACCTGCTTTCTGTCTCCACGTTCGTGGAGTCTGTGATTGGGACTGTTGGGTCCAGAGACCACATGAGCTCCCCACGTCAGGACATTACTTCATGGTCTGAATCCTTTCTTGTCGTGCTCCCTTGGTGTGGACAGCCCCCCACCCCCTTTAGGGTTGTCACTTGTACACCCCTGAGCATACCACATGCAGGTCCCCTCCTACGGGGATAGGTCTGTTTCTTGTGGATAAGTAGCTGGGCGTGGAATTGCTGAGCGACACTCTGGTATGACTGAACTTCAGTCTGCTTCCCCCCCTTCCTGCTCCAGGTTCCTACCCTCAAAGCCCTGCACCTTGTGTGTGACTGGGTTTGATTCTAACCTCCCTGGGGTGTAGTTCTACTTGAGTTCCCTGGCGGCTGGGACTGTGAAGGATGGATGGTTGAAAAAGTAACTTTCATTGTGATGCATTTCTTCAGATCTTTCGCCTATTTTTTCAAAAGCGAGTTTTCAGAATTCCTAGTCTAATTTACAAGCAAGTCTTTGGTCAAACATATGTATTACAAGTATTTCCTTCTAGTCCAGTGTGCTTTTCTTATTATTTTAATGGTGTCTTTCAAGGACCTGGAGTTTTAAATGTTTTGTTTTTATGGCCAGTGCTTTTTGTGGTTGGAGGAAATATATGTCTCCCCAACAGTCAAAACTGTGTGTGTGTGTGTGTGTGTGTGTTGTAATAACCAGTGAGGGCCCTGTGCTGATATATGTCTCCCCAACAGTCAAAACTGTGTGTGTGTGTGTGTGTGTGTGTGTGTGTGTTGTAATAACCAGTGAGGGCCCTGTGCTGATGTCATTGCCCTGTGGGCTGGGTCACTCTCCCGGCTCTGGTCTAGGAACGGTCAGGCAGGGCCAGTGGGAGGAGTGGTTGGGCAGGGGGTGACTTCAGGCAGGGCCAATAGGAGGAACAGCAATGGGAGTGGGGGCAGGGGCATAGCCTATAGATAGGAAGGATGGTAGTAGTGGAGAAGACAGAAGAGGACAGAAGAGAGATGCGGGTGAAGAAAGAAGAGCGAGAGTGGCAAGAGGCCTACGGGAAGGTGAGAAGCCTTTGGAGAGGCCTTCGGAGAGGCCTGCGTTGAGGCCTGCACAGAAGGAAGAAGGGAGGAATAAAGATCAAGGTTGCCCCTTTGGAGATTTGAAGGTTTGCAGACCGACTAATAGGAGGTTTGCAGACTGATGAATAGGTTTGCCAATAAAGGTTGAGGCTGTCCTTGGAGCTTGGTCTAGCCTGCTGGTGGTTCTGGGTAGTTGGCCCAGGGCAAGGTGGTTGCAGGCCCTTTTACATAAATAAAATTCTTTTGTCACCTTTAACTGTGCCTCCATGGATTGTCTCGCTCCCAGGTCATAACATTTGGAGGCCCGAGTGAGATAATCCATCTGGACTGCATCAGGCCTTGGACCCCGGGAAACTCCCTCGTAGGTGAGTGCGTTGGCCCACAGGGGACAGCTGCAGAGAGGTGATTCTCAGCCTTGAGGTTCCCAGAGCCTCCCTCGAGTGTCTGTTTCCCGAGGACCAACGTGGACAGGAGTCATTTGGAAACCCTCCAGGGCATCTGGGAAGACTCAGTGAGGACGCAGTGTAAGTCTCCGGCCAGGATGAGTCCTTGCCTGCACCTCCTGGGGCTTCCTTGAGAGGCCATCTGGGACTTCTTCAAGAGGTTATCTGGACCTCCTCGGGAGGTCATCTGGGGCATTTGGGACATTAAGTGTCTGTGGCTACTTGTCTGTGTGTGTTTGTCACGAGTTCTATCTTTGTCCTGTATATACCTCTGCTTACTCCTTTTTTCCAGGATGGGAAAACAATGTCCTAAAGTTCTTGTAAGTGAAACTGTAACAGGAAAATCTCCCCAGTGTTACGGGATCCCCTGGGGGAAGACCCGCCTGTGTACTTTCCCCCTTATTCTGTGCCATCAGCGCCTGAGGTGGTAGGGGGTGGAACTGTCCCCTTACTACC